GGGGTTGGGGGGGGGGGGGGGTGTGGAGTAGAGAGAGAAGAGGATATTTCATTATAAGGGCTCATTCACACATCTTTTTAACTGAAACATATGTGAAAATAAAAGGTTGTCAATTACATTGGATAACCACACCTTCTCAGGTCTCTACTGAAGAAGGGGTGCCGTAATGCTTCTCTAGCTTTCAGCCGTTCTGTTGGGTCATAACAAAGCAGCCCTTGCAAAAGATCAATGAGATCTCCAGCAGAGTGATCCACATGCTGCATTATCAGGTTCTGAAATATGATAGAAATAATATTACAGCTAATAAAAACAATTCAATAAATGGAAAGAGATTTAAAGAAAAAAAAAGTATAAATGCTCCAAACCACTCAGAGATCAATAATCTGTTCGGCAAATTTGGCTACATACTCAGATATTCAATGAACAAACTCTGAAGGATATAAACTAATGGATCAGTACCGTTAACAAACTACAATACCCAATCACGCATTTCTTTTAGTCAAACTATTCAACAATGTACAGGGAGTTGGGAAGCTTCTTGTTACAAAGATATCACTAATACAACCCCAAAATTCACTATTTCCCTTGGAGAACAGGAGAAGACTAATTAAACAATCATATAAAAGGCTGAGAGTGAGAAAGAAAACACTAGAAAAGATGAAAAAATAACACTCATAGCATTCCTACTATATCTTTCAAACTAACAACTCAAAAATAAAAGCAAATATATTTACTAGATGCTAGGTAAAACCAAAAAGAAAGAAGAAAAGATAAAGGTGTGAGATACATCCTACATGCTAAGCAAAATTCACACATCTGCACTAGTGCTCCTTGAAAAAGGTTTAACACTCGCAACAAGGCCTCATGAAAATTCTCACCGGATTAAAAACAAAAAGATTTGCACCACAGGATATAGCTTAGATTCAGGAATTACCGGGAGACGAGGCAATTTCCAGACGGCCCTCATACTTTCACTTGAAGTTGCACGTTCTGGCCAATCCAACCTTGCACCCCTTCTAAAGTATTTCTCAGCATGGTGGCTACAAAAAGTGAGGCAAATAAAGCATGTTCTATTTGATGAAATAACATAAACTACCAATAAAATCAAAAGCAACAAAATTCTTACTCAGCTCTTATAGTCATGTGCTGAGGAAGAGGCCCTAGCACCTTTTCCATCATCGCAAGATGCTCCAAGTTCTCATGTGTTTGAAAAAGAGCTTCACCCTATATATGCATTTTTTTGGGTGGGTGGGTGGGGTGGGGTG